AATGCCTCTCTACATGAGTTAGTTTTTAAGTTTCACCCCACCCAAACACTGGCAGCCACATCCCTGCCCCATCTCTCTGTCTCCAATGCCCCCACTAGAAATGGTCAACAGTGCAGCCAGGTTGCAAGAACCCAGCTTGCTTCTCCACAAGGTTGAGCTGTACTGTTCTAGTCTAAGGAATTGATTTCACCCAATTTACACAGTACCATGTGGTATGAAGGAACATGACTGGTTAAATGTTAAAAAGGATAATCATTTAAGAAGATGGACAAAGTCCTACCTGAAAGGCCTCTCTCCTCCTAGGGGTGAAGTAGCAGTACTCCAGCTTTTCCGGTATTCTTCTCGTTCAGCTTTCTTTTTCCGAAGAGGAGCTGGTATATAGGCAGTCTGGTTACTCTTATTTGGGAGGTACTGGTTAAAAGGCACAGCTGATTTAGGTTCACCATACGATGTCCGTCTTGCAGACATATCATCTTTTTTCACATCTGGCATTTTTCGGTGTGGCAAATCAGATTCAGAGTCACTTCCTCTCCCTATTGAAACACAGTACAGAGAGGGGGATGTTATTTTTTACATAGCAAAAACACCCCTACTGTAAAATAGTATTTCAGTAGTAGATTGAAATACTATAGTTGGCAATAGTGTATTTACACAGAATATTGGGAAATTTCACTAGGAAACTATTATTTTAGGTACAGTTTTTTAAATCAGAGAAAATAAGAACTGATGATAGCTAATTATGGCTGGAGTTATATTCATATTTTAAAATCAGTCTGGCAAAAGTACTGGCCACAATCTCAATCTCTACATCAACAGCAAATAAATCTATTCCAGCAGTCCAGCATCCTACTGTAGGCATCCAAGGAAACTGGACTTCAGAAAAAAGTCACAGTAAGTTCCTTTTTCAAGAACCCTTCCCTTTGAAGAGCTGCAAAGCACAATAGGTCAGATAACACCAGGATCACCAGTGACACAAAACAGCTGCATAAACCCAGAATCAAGCTTACTTGACTGGACCCCAACTGACTGCTACTTACAAGCAAGGTTAGACATCACATGGAACAGGCCAGTGAATCGGTGCATAACTTAAGGTGTTATCTAGAGGGTGGTAACACACTGGGTTTTAGAGGGCTACTTGCATGTACACTGATGTAGCAGATGTTGATACAGGGATAGAGGGTACCTCCTCTTGGAATTATATCATATAAACTGAAGTGCCACAACCTAGGCATGGTTTTGGATAGGTACAAACTACTAATGGTTTCTAATCAGAACTTCCAGTAGCTAGACAGGATATAGGGGATAGATCGGAATGACAAGGTTTCATGAATATTTTTGGTGAAGAATGGGAAAGACGACAGTGAGAAACAAATCAAGAGCTTCAGAGGATAACAGAAACAGCAATTTTGAGCAGATTTGGGTAAACACTGGTAAATAAAAGTCACCAATACACACTACTGATATTCATAAGCTATCTTTAAAAACACATTCACAGACTGGGTTAAAAACAGCTTCAGACACAGGCAAGCAAGTTTTACTGGCAAGAATCTTCCTAAAAAACAAAAGCATCATAAATACCAGCACAAAAATACTTCTAAGAATGTGCAGTAGAAGTGCTTTCATATACATTTGGAAAGGATATTTCATATTCTATCAACAAATTTTTGCAAAAATACAAATGTTTACAAGTTATTTGTGAACAGAAAGTGACTCTTGTTTATAAAGGTTAGGCCTCCCAAATAGGATACAATTAAAAAAACCCCACAAACCACATGATTTAAAGAACCTAGTGTACCAGGCAAGCTATGTTCACATAATCTAGCTGAGTTATAGGAAACAACAAACAATGTGAAAAAAGAAAATCAGGAGGATCTTGTGGATAATTTGAACAGAAAAGAGGGCTAAATATGTCAGGAATGTTAATTTGCAAAGAATAATTCAACCCACTGCAAAGCTCAGCATGTCTTCTTGGAGATGGATGAAGAAGGGGAAAGAGAACAGCAAAAGGAATACTGGACAGACATACTACTGAAAAAAAGCTAAGCAGCTAGATTCATAACTTTCTTTTTCAGGAATTTTACACTGAGATGTTTTTGGTTATTAAATTTTCTACCTGCAAATGTGGGTAACAAACTTAGGCATGATTCGTTACTACGCAGTTACACATGTGTAGACATGACCCAGGAGCAAACTTACTCCCGGGACAGCCCTGCTGCTAGGGGGCCAGCCCAGGGCTCTGGGCTGGGAGCCTCTCCTGCCCCAGTGCTGGGCTGCCTTTATGGCAGCCCTTGCCTCAGGCTTTAAAAGCCTGCAGGCACTCAGAGCCCTGAGGCACACCAGCAGGGAGTCTGAGGCCACTCCAGGCCCCTGTGGCCCCTGGGCAGGCCACAGTCCAGCTGCCTTAGCTTGCCTGCACTCCGTCACTACTGCTTAGCATCACAGTGTTGCACAGTTGCCAGGCTCAGGCTGCTGCATAAAGGTCAAGGGCTTGTGGGCACAGTGGGTTTCCATCACCAATCGCAAACATTGGTTAGGAAGTGCCTGTAAGTCCACAGCAGCAACTGTAAGTGCCTGCAGCAACTGATGGACATCCTTGCATCCTAGGACCCAGGCCTCAGATGTGCTGCCTATAGCAGCACAGGTGGCCTGCCTGAGCCCACGCCCCGACCTAGCACTGCCAGTGATACATTATCAGGGGAGGGCCCCTCACGCATCCAGCAGCCCATGCTGCTGAGCTCCCTGGCTGGATCCTCCACCAGCATCTCAGGGAGCCTAAGTCAGTACCTAAGTCAGTACCTGTCTCACCAGCTCTGTAGCCCCAGCCCCCACCACAAGGCGCGGCCAGCCATGACAGCCACTTGCCAGCAGAGCCAGCTCCTCCTCAGAGGGGATGTGGGAGACGGGGGAGGAGGGTGTGGAAGCCCTGACCATCCAAGGACACTGCCTAGAACTGCACACTACCTAGAACTGACAGCTGTGATTCCACAGAGCCACCAGCCACACCAGCCCTGGCCACATGGTAAGCCCACACTGGGGAGAAGGCCTCCCTTTGCCTGACCCCTGCTCTTGCTCAGCCCACCTGCACTCCTCTGGCCCCAGGTTCCATCTTTCCCCCACCAGCACGCAGGGAGGTGGGAGACAGTGCAAAACTCCACTGAGCAGCCCATGCCCCTGCAGTTAGGTGGACATGGGCCTCTTGCACACCAAGGAATCTGTTAATGCCAGCAGCAATGTCATCCTCAGTTGCAGGGGGGTATGGACATGTAGCACAGCCATGGGCAGCCCTGCAGGTAGTGGTGGAGGTTGCGGGGTGGCCCGAGCTTGCACCATCATAGTGCAGGGTCCGATACCAGGTGTGCAGGTCCACCCAGGGCACTGTGGCCATTAACAGCAGCATCAGGGCATAGCGAGTCAGGTACTCCTCAGTTCGCGCAAACAACTCCTCATGCATTGCCTAGGCATGCACAGCAAGGCCATGCTCACGGTGCAGCGGCGGTGCAGGGGAGAAGAGCTGGCCCTGGGGCACCTATGTGGAGAAAACCCCTCCTGGGAGGGTGAGGGCATGAGCAGCTCCTCATCCCAGTTATCTGGGAGCCTCATGCCACTGGAGCCCGGGTGCTGTGGGCTAGGCGGCAGCACAGCAGAGCGGTTGCTCTGCAGGAGGACAGGTTGGAGCAGGGTCTGGAGCTGCAGTAGCAGGTGCTGTCAGGAGCCTGGCCTGTCCCACCCTGGGAATCACAGCCAGCACCCAGTGGCCCACTGACCCCAGGGAAGCAAGTGGGGATGGGAGGCTCAGTTGGTGGCCACTTAGGGCCACCTGTGCCATGGCAGCATAAACCACCATTGCCCATGCATGCACTCAGCATGGCATGTGTACCCACAGAGGAGCAGCCAGAGGCTGGAGTGCTGGCCACCTGTCCCTGGGCTCTGCTCTGGGACAGCACACAAACGACATTGTACATAGTTTTCATGGGGAAGAAGGCTTTTTATTGTTGGTGGGTGGGTTGGGTGGTGGAGGGGGCTCTTTTTGTTAGGGAGGGAGAGGCAAGGGGGGCTCTTTTTTGGGGGATGGAGTGGAGAAGGGGGCTCTGGTTAATGTTAGGGGGATAAAAACTTGCTCTTCTGAGACAAGTCTGTGGTGAGTTTGGTGCTGAGGGTGGGCAGCGGGGGGCCTGTGGGTGGCGATCCAGGTGTGCTCCTCATCCCAGTCATCTGGGAGCCTCATGCCATTGGAGCCCGCGTGCTGTGGGCTAGGCAGCAGCACAGCAGAGCGGTTACTCTGCAGGAGGAGAGGTTGGAGCACGGTCTGGAGCTGCAGTAGCAGGTGCTGTCAGGAGAGTGGGGAGTGCTGGAGAAGGTGGTCGGCCAGTTCTTCCTGTACCTGGTGCCCTGAACCCCGCTGGTGTGTGCATGGATCTCCTGGGGCCTTGGTGGGGGGAGAAGGTCACTGTGCCACTGCAGGTGGTTCTCCCACTGCCAGGCATCCTCCACCCACTGTGCCTCCTCCACCCAGGCCTCATGGAACAGTTCTTCTGAGGCCTCACAGATGTTATGCAGCATGTAGGCTGTGATGATGATCCAGGGGAGAGCGTCTTCAGTGAACTCAGGGTAGGTGGTGGCAGTGCATCAGCATCCCTTGAGGCAGCTGAAGGTATGTTCTACTAGGGCATGGGTCCAGCTCAGGCAGTGGCTGAAGTGGGCCTGGCAGGGGTCCAGCTGGCCAATGTAGGGCTGCAGGAGCCGGGGTAGGAATGGGTGGGGCAGGTCCCCAACAAGTAAGGATGGAACCACCATGGTGTCCAGCTGCAGGTATGGCACCCCCAGTGTGAAGTGGCTGCTTTGCACCAGGCCCGGCAGGCCAGACTTCTGGAAGACACAGGCATTGTGGGTGCTGCCCACCCAGCCAGTACTCACATACATCAAGGTGTCTCGGTGGTCCACGATGGCCTGGAGCACCACAAAGTGAAAGCCCCTCCACCTATAGTAGGGGTGGTCTCCATGGGGTGGGTAGGTGATGGGGGCATGTGTCCTGTCCAGGCCCCCGATGCCCTGGGGGAATCCCAGGACACAGAACCCCACCACCACTGCCCCGGGATTGTGCACACAGAGGCGTGTCCTACAGCTTGTCCTAGTGGGCTCCACACACCTCCAGAATGGCCCTCCTGGCGGTGGCCTTGCCCACACAAAACAGATGGCCAATGTACCACAGGCTGGTGGGTGTGGCCAGCTTAAGCAAGGCTAGAGCCAGCTAGGTGCCCACAGGGAGAAGTGGCTGCATGCTGGTGTCTTGCCACTCCAGGTGGGGCTGGAGCTGCTCCAAGAGGTCTTGGAAGGTGGCCCAGGTCATGTAGAAGGCTGCCAGACACTGCTTGTCATTGTGCCACCACCAGTCTGGGCCCAGAGGTGGCCGAGCTGGAGGTCCAGGAGGTGAGAGCATCCCTGGTAGTGGCACCCTGGAGCCTGTCATCAGCATTCCTGATGGAGTTCCAGCCAGGCAGATAGGGTGAAAGTGGCAGGTGCACAACGGTGGTCCTGGGATGGCACACGGCAGGCAGGCAGTCGCTGAGCATGGGGGAACCAGGAGAGGTGAGACAGCTGTGGGCCAGGCAGCACTTGGCATGGTGGGCCAGCGCAATGGCCAGCAGGAGCACAGGTGGTGAGGAGAGTGCTCCCACATGCTGCTCCTGGCCAGGGAAGTGGCTGGTCAGAAAGCAGCAAGTGGGGCTTGTTTTTGAAGAGGGCTGCCTGCAACTGCAGCCAGAGCCTGGAGTTCCCCCTGGTCGTGTCAGGGGCCCATTGCGGAGTCCTGAGAAGCCAGAGCAGTTTGGGAGCAAATCGCTCTGACTTCCTTGCATGTGTAGATGTGCTCGTCATCGTTTACTTGCGAGTAAACTGGTACCACATCAAATGCACATGTAGGCACACCGAGTGAGTATTAACACATATCAGCATGAAGGATAGAGACATGGCTACATAATCCTGGGAGTCTGAGTGGTGTGGAGCTTTCCAAATTGTTTAGAGAAGCAGGGCCATAACTTAAAAACAAGCAGAAAGTCAAGGTGTTTTAGTACTTAGAACTCTTCTGTACTGATCCTAATTTTACTTTAGCAAGCAGTTCTGACATATGCAAATATGTTCTGAAAGGACAGACACTAGCATACCAGAGGACAGTGATGGCAGAAGGAATGCAAGTGTTTCCTCATCACCCTCTTCTTTGTTTTTAGGCCTGTGGAGCCAGGTCTACAAGTAGACACAGGTCTGGGTGGCAGCATTTCAGAAACAAGGGCTTGGTTAACTTCCACTGTTATTATTTGGGGGGGTGGG